CTTATTTACCCATGTCTCTTTCTCAGCACTTCTCTCCCTCTTTCTTCCTCCCACTCCCTCAAGCTCCAGGTGAGAAGCGGTCTCCACCCAAAGAGTGTCTTTCCTTCCTTTCATTATTGTGTCTTATCCCAGAGGCACAAACCCAGGGGGACTCAGAGAGAAGGGATTGTCCCACTCTACTCTGTGCTGGTACTGCCTCACCTGCAGCACTGTGTGCAGCTTTGGGCACCACAGTACAGCCATAAAACTATGATCTATTATAAAACATTTATTATATTATAAACTGCGGGAACAGCTTTTGAACCACTGTGCTCCTGCAGTCCATTGCTTCAACTCTCATAGTTCCTGGCTGATTCTGATGCTGAGGCCAGTGTTAGGCCTTTTCTAGCACAGAATGCTGTCTAGTGGCACTGTATGTGGGGAAGAGGTCCTCAGGCATCTTCTCCAGCTGATACTTGATAGCTGTACATCTCCTGTTCCTCACCTGTGCAAAGCATTTTCCAGCCTGGCTGAAGTTATGCACTCCCCTGCTGCATCTCTAATGTCTCCATTTCACAAAGATTCAGAGGAAAGTACTGAAGCAGCCCTCTGAGTCAGCTTTGATGTGCTTCTTTGCATCAAAAGAAAAAAAAGCAGAGGGAAGAGAGGAGAAATAACTCCAGGGGAGATGGCATGAGCTCTGTACAAGCAGTACATCCGCAATTCCTTTGCTGTGTGTGTATAAATGGCATGGATACAGGGGAGCACAGAGATTTGGGCACCCTCTCATAGCTGCAGTGCAAGTCAGCCTGCTCACAGGTGGGTAACACCAGAGATGTCAACTCCTCTGCTGGTATTTGAGTGCCTCACAAGTCTATTAGCAGCCTTGCATCAGTGCTTGCATCTCTTGTTCAGAAGGATGCTTCTCAGGCATCTAAGCAATAAAGTTATGGGTTTTCTGAGAATTTTCTCTCTGATGTATGTAATTCAAGGTAAATTGATCAAACTATCAGTTGGTTTGTTTTTTCCCTGCTGCTATTCAGGATACGCTCTGTATATAGCAGAAAAAAATGCATATATGCTTCCCATAGCCACAGTCACTGAGGAAAAGTGGGACTGTTTCATGGAGCTCTGGAAAACAAGCTTTTATTCTTTCCAAATTACTTCACAAGGAGAGGCATCAGGTTTCCTGTGACCCTGCCACCATTTCAGGCAGAAAGCAGAAGTAATGCCTGATGCCCTTAAGCCAGAAAACCTATCCTTTTCTAGGGTATGCAGCTTCCTTGCTGAGAGTTTCAAGGAAAGTTCTCCCCCAGAGAGACAGGGCAGGCCTTTGGCTGTTTATTACTGTGCTTCCTTCCTCCCAGCTGATGTGGCCACCTCTAAATGCATTTCCTAGCACTGTGAATCCCACCCAAGAACTGCTCCTGAGTGTGGCCCAGCAGTTTGCATCAATCAAAACATGTTTACATGCTAATTTGCTGAAATCACCACAACCGTACCACCCCATCTATAACCTGCATTGCCAAATTATAATGCTGTGTTCTACAAGAGTAAACATCTGGTATGCTTTAAAACTAAGAGCTGGACAACTGATCACTGGTCAACACTGAAGGTTGCCTGAGGTGGGCTTATGTGGCTGGTGCTTGTCCCATGCTGGTGGTGCAATGAGGCAGCCTCCACCTCAGGCAATGATCCAATCTGATTGCTGATGGCTGGCTGTGATGGAGATGAAGGAAGACACTTCCAGGCTCCTTAGAAAAGCTTTTGGCTGGTCTTCTGGGTGAGGCTCACAGCTGCATTACAAGCTGCCTAGGTAATCCCATAGCAAGTCACTTCCTGGGCAGAGGAGCCCAGCACCTAGCAGCTCATGTTGATTTAGGGGAGATTCATAGATGTTTTGCACACTGTCCAACCTGCAAGAAATACCCATGTTTCTGCTGCATCCTCATCAGTCAGCATGTTCTTTCTTTCCTCCATCCATTGCCCGCTGTACTCTTGTAGGGAACTGGTTGTCCAAAACTGTGGATTCCTCATCCTTGGAGGAGTTCAAGGCCTGGTTAAATAGGACCCAAAGCAACCTGATATGGTGGGTGGCAACACTATCCACAGCTGTGATTCTATAATTTTATGATTCTGTTATTCTATGATTTTCTGACCAGAAGCCCTTTCATGTGCTGTGCAGTACTGACCAAAAATTGTTCCCTCTTGTCATAGAGGAATCATGATGCTTCCACAGCATCAGCAACAATTCTGGTTTACCTAAAATTTCAAGGACTCCAGGGCAAGGCTAAAGCCATTTTTCATTTCAGCATGATAGCCTCTACAGCCCAGGGCTCTGAAACACCATGAGGAAATTGAAAACATCACTCCATCCATTTCAGAAATGTTTTCAGAATGAAAAGTTTCATTCTTACTCTGGACTGTGTCAAAATGGTGGCCTGACCTAACTATTTGGCTGCAAATTGATCAGCACCTGTAGTCTACAGAGACACTCAGAGCAGGTTAGCCACTTTGAAAGAAAGTGATGTATTGTTTTGGTAACAGATACTTGCCTGAGACACGGAATGAGACAAACTGCATGGAAGGAGGGATAAGAAGGAGAAGAGGTCACATGGTGTCTAACTTGATGTGCCTTGTCCTACTCCAAGGAATCCTGGTGCTGTCTGTGCCCTCTCTGTATCCATGAGCTGAGCCAGTGTTAATAGAACAACAGAATAACAGAATTGAGGTTGGAAAAGACCACTAAGATCATCTAGTCTAACCACTAGCCCATCCCCACCATGCCCACTAACCATGGCACTCAGGCTACATCATCCACATGTTTCTGGAATGCCTCCAGGTGACTCCACCACCTCCCTGGGCAGCCTGTTCCAATACCTCACCACAAGAGAAAAGGCTTTTCACTGCGTGAAGGGTAATTTCTGGGAGTGGAAGTCTCTTAGCTCCATCTGTGTCGAGCTAAAGACCACAGCTAATCACACTTCATTACAAGCTGAAGCAAAGCAGCACCAAGGAGTCTGCAACCAGCTGGTCAGCATAGTGGAGAGGCTATAGAGGGAGGAAGTGTGTCTCATAAATGTGGGTAAGGAGCATATGTTATGAGCAATCTGGGAATAAGACAGGCTTGTACCAGTGAATAGCGTGCCTCAAATTTCAGACCAGTTCCTGTGGGCCCACTTAAATCTTATTCCAGTTTTTCAGAAGTCGCTGGTTCTAGCAATATCCCCTGTACTTAGGAGCTAGGAATGTTGCCAGACCCAGCCATACCTCTAGAAATACGATGGAATTATTGAGTGCATTTAGCATTCCTGTTTATTGTTAGAGGTGTGATGTCTCAACTTGTCTGGTGAGTTGCTGTTTTTCATACAATGCATAGACTCAAAAGAGGGTAAGAAGTGGCCAGAACTCTGCTAGTTATACTAGACAGGGATAGTTTGAGCCACACTGGGCCACCTGGCTGTTACACCGTTCCTGTACTTACGTCCATGTAGAGGTCTTATTAGGACCACGCTGATGGATAGACTGTCTGGGAAGGGAAGCACGGTATAGCCCTCAGATGCCCTCGTTATAATCACATGGAAAACTTCTGACTTTTTCTTTTTTTTATATCTTTTCCTAATAAAACAAAAAGTTGATTTGGTTTTGAGCCAGGACCACAGAACAAAGCATCTTTACATTTCTCATTGCCAGAGGAGGGGAGAATTCAGTTCAGAACTGGTGCATTTCAGCCATGAGGAAAATTGCCTCCCTACTCTCTCTCCTTTTTTATTGGAACAAATAGACACATAGTAAAAATGTGAGCCAGCTTCTTATTTTGCTAATACTATAAAATAGGGAGTAAAGCCGGCTTCCCTTCATTTTCCTTTACTTTTTTATTCTACCCTGTCTTTGCCAATTGGAAACAGAACTCAGAGAGTTACTTTGTCTCTGGAAACAAATCTTGCAGGGCTTAACTGTGTTTTCAGCGCTTTTCAAACAGAAGAGATTTTTGGAACCTACATGATCTTCCTGAAATTTTGGGGGGTCTGAGAAAATGATCTATGTTCATGTTTTCTTATGTGAAGCTTGTTTTCTGAGGAGAAGAACTGGGGAGAAATAGCATGGAGAAATAGAATCATAGAATCGTTTGGGTTGAAAGGGACTCTTAAAGGTCATCTAGTCTAACTCCTCTGCAATGAACAGGAACATCTACAGGTAGATCAAGGTGCTCAGAGCCCCTCCAGCCTGACCTTGTGTGTCCAAGGAAGGGGCATCCACCACTTCTCTGGACAACCTGTGCCTCAGCAAATATCCACAGAGGAAATTCTATTGGCAATCTCCCTGCTGACTGATTGACATAACAAGCATTGTAATACAATAAAATTGTCTGCCTTTTTCCTATGCCAGTGCAAATGTCAGCTTTTTCCTCTCTGAAAGTGCTCTGTGGTCTATCTTGCATAGGCAGCTAGGAGAAGAAGTGATGGGAGGCACAAAGAAATGCTCCTTCTTGCACTGTTCAGCTGGAAAACAAACAACATTTCTCAGGTCAGGAGATCCTACATTCAAGATACTGTAGATGAGTATACAAATTCTCTAAACTAGTAATAGTAAGATAGGCAGTGGTAAAGCAACTCTTCAGTGAGTGAGCAAGAGAGAAAGCTTTACAAAATAGTTTGATGCCATGCCTTGCTTTGTTCTCCTTTTACAGGATAGAGATCGGGTATTAAATGAGATTAGTGAGGAATCATTGATTAGCGCTGTTGCTCTGGAAAAGATTATGAGAACATGTGGTTTTCAGTTTGAAAATAAAATGAAAAAGTCACAAGCCTTGAAGGAACTTTCCAATGTGGTTTTCGTCTGGCTTTCATCTCCACTGTTTCTCCTGGAGAACAGAAGGCTGAAGAAGATGTGAATTAGGAAAACATGCCATGACCCGGATAAAAAGTCTTCAGCAAAAATGGAACTGCTGAAGCAAAATAGTATGCAGTAGAGCTACAAAGTCTCTTTAACCATGCCCATATCTCTCATTTCTTCTACAGGGCCAAGTATTTCCAGGGGAAGAAGGTGAATGGAGAATTTGATATCCGTGTGGAGCAGGTCAGTGACAACTTACCTGTAAGAAATGTGTGGGCAGAGCTGAGGTGTCAACAACAGATAGTCTGTGGATTTTCTCCAAGAGAAGAAAAGATTTGGGCACAAGTTTTAACACTTGTCCATTTTAGTCGATGATGTATGACCTAAGTGAAAATATCCTACCTTCTCTCTCTGTCTTTGCAGAATCAGTCACTAATTCAACTTAAAATTAAGTTTTCCATTTTGGTGGTGGGACTATCATTTCTTCCATTGGAAGACTACCTCACAGTTCCATATGTGTGTCTGTAAAAGTGAAAAGCTAGTACACAGAAGTGCATCTTAGTGATGTTATATTCCACATGTGTGTTATTGAAGTCTTCCAACTTATTCTGATTTAAGTCTAAAAGTTTTGGTTTCCATATGCAAAATAACTGCACACAGCAAAATCTCTTCAGCATTGACTGATGTGCTGAGTGTGATTGTCACAGCAGAAATGATTGTTAATAACCATGCAGATGCCTAATTTGAAGGCAGGCATAGTAAGAGAGATGTAGAGAACTGAGTCTGTGATTGTGAAGAAATCGTGTGCTTGCTTTTTTTTTTTACTTTAGGGCTGTAAAACTACTTGGATGGGTAAAGAAAGCTGGTGAATGTTTGAATGACCTGGTATTCTCTGTCTTTATAAATCTGGAGATTCTGTGTCATATATGTGGATGTGCATATGTGTTTATATAAAAATACTCATGGAGTGGTTTTGAAGACTTTCTCAAGATCCAGTATCTGTGACAAGTTGTTCCTTCTCTTTTCAAAGGGATATTGTCCACTTCCTAAGGCTGTGCATGTGGACGCACAGTTTGATCAAAATCTGTGCCTAGGACAGAAAGGTTAGCAGGTCATCTTTTGCAACTGTGATATACGAATGCTTAATTTTCCTCTTTTCATTTGTTCTTGCTTCAGATACCCACGCATCATTACTTCAATCAGAAATATAGTTTGTCTTAGGAGAATTTTTTGTACTTTATAGGAAGAAACTCTTGATTTGAAAAGCTAAGTAACAGAACAGTTCGAATGACATAAAAACATGAAAATAAAACTGAACATTCAAATGTTCAGTAGTCTTGAAAAAAGATCATATTGGGAAAAAAGAACTACCCTATTTTTTTTCTGACATAATATTTTGCTGTTCTTCTAGAATGCTCAGTATTTGGTTTAAACTAAAGAAAGATTCTGTCTTGCTGCTTTCCTTTTCCACCTCCATCTCTATTACATCTTCTTTCTTGGTGAATCATTTTGGAAGGTTGGGGCATGGGGGAAGCAGAGAAGGAAAACAAGAATATTTTTTTTAAGTCAAAACATCACTTATTTATAATGGAGTAGCAGCACTGAAAACTGCACAGCTCTCTCTCAGCAGTGGGAAGTCAGTTATCTAATCTGGTTAAGCTCCCCTACCAGCTCTCTGAGCTGCCTCTCCCCCTTGGCTGTTGTTCGAGGAATGCAAGACATATGTGATCATGCTGTCTCGCTGTCTGTCCCCCACACCCAAAACTGTGGAAGACATTGGCTGATTTCAGCTGAATTTGAGAAACAGGCAGAAGTTTCAAAATATTAAGTTTCAACAAGTTCCTTCAGCAGAGGTTCAGTTCCTATTAAACACTGGATAACCCACAGGGAAGAAACTGTTAAGTACCATCCAGCTGCTTAGGGAGCTACTTTTATAAGACACGGCTTGTATAAAAATAGGTTTTATGGACTCTTGAAGAGGGTTTTCTGTTTGTTTACTGTAGAAATGAACTGAATAACCTCAGTGCCACTTCCAGGCCCTTGGTCTTCAGCTGATCACTAACCATTAGCATTAAAAAGAGACAGTAGACTCTATGGGCACACCTGGTTGCCGGTGAGTAGGAGAAAGAGTTGTCAGGGACACTGCAACCCATGTATATGTGTAGCTTCTACTTTCTTCTTCTGTTCAATTGAAATGAATGTGAGGGCTGACTTTTTTCCCATCTTTTCTTCTTCTCTTCTAATTTTCATCATGATGTCCAAAATTTATTTATTAATTTGCCTTAGAGGCTGCAGAATTTGTTGTCACCCACCCCTAACTGAAACTCAGGGACACAACTTCATTTTCAGGTATGTCAAGCTGAGTGCTGGGGTGCTGGGAAGCAACCATAGTCCTGGAAGGATGCTGGAGAAAACAAAACATAGGAAGCCAATCTATTAAGTGAAAGAGAAATCAAATGCCATTGGTTGTACGGGGGTTTTAGTCCTGGGCCTCAGAGAAGCAGTGGGCATGAATGACTCTTATTATAAACTATCAGATGGAGTCTGAGGGTGGTGACAGTTAAGTATTTTCAAGTAAAACTAGTGCTGGCACAAAGAAGACTGGATGACATTGCTAAGTCATGTCTTTGATGCTAATCCACAGATAGAAATATAGTGCAGCTCTGCAGCTTTATCTCTTTAGCCCACCAATACATCTCCAGCCTATTCCTGCAAGATTTTTTTCCCCAAACAGAGGAGTTAATTTGGTGTAAGTCCATTTAGGAGACCATTTAGCAGGGCAAGTATGATGTATTTATAAACAAAATATTTCCACTCAGAGAAACACATAATTTGATTTAGGCGTAAAACATAAGTTTGCACAAGGCAAAACTTCTGTGTAAATGCTCTCTTGAATTCAGGCCCCATTTGCTTTGGAGACAGTTTCCATTAAGTTGCCATTATTTGGGTATTTTTTTCACTACACATCCTTTTGTAGCACCAGTAGTCATTCCTGAAACTGAACAAAACACTGATCGGTAAGTGAAAATCTCTTTGACCTATTCCCATTTAAATCCTGATGGTTTAGGTCTTACTCAGTATGGGTTTAAGCTTACTCAGTATAGCTGAGTCTAAAAATACTATTCCTAGTTTATGCTTAAAATAAGATCATTAAATTTTGATCCATGCTGTTGCTTTTACTTGCCTTATGATTTCTGGCTTTGGGAACTGCAGGGTATACATCTGCAGCTCTTTCCCTCTAGAAATAGAACAGCTAGTGAATTTTTTTTAGAAAAGAAAGGTTTGATTATATAAAATGGATATATGGTTAAGCTCAGCATTAAGAAGAAATATAAATGCCACCGGACTTGGCAACACTGCTTTTAGTCTCTCTTGAAATTAATTCTGCGTTTATCTTCTCAGACCATCTTTCTCCTTCACTAGCCAGGGGACATGAGGCATTAGGAAATGCAGTCTACTTGGGAGGAGAAGGAATTGTACTGTAGGCTTTACACTCTTTGATTTTCCATCACTGAAGGCAACTGGTACTAATTGAGCATCTCTTCCACCACCTTCTCTGCCTTGTCCCACTGAAAACCAAACTGTAAGGATTTCATATGACCCTTGGATTTCCCATATGGATCATAAAATGTCCTGGGTTGGCAATCTCCTTGTGGGTTATGCTTGCACCATGTGCAAAGAGGATACTGTATGGTTGTGTGTCACCAGCAGAAGATGGAAGGAGAGTTGGAGCAGAGGCCTGGACAACCACAGCTCCATCAGCCAAACCATGACACTGTGGGCAGTGGTCATATCCCACATCTAGGATACAGATGCCCACGAACAGGATATGTGCAGAGTAGGAGATGTGCACAGGGATGACTGTGGAGACCTGACTCATGGCAGCAAACAGAAAGAGTTAGCTTGCTTATCCTGACAAAATGGACAGATGCTAAAGGAGACATGACTCCTTTTAATAGACGCACCAGTTTAAGAAAGGGTTTTGTGACACAGTACTGACAACAGCAAGGGCTTGAATCCTATGGGTCTGGTGGTCATCTTTGGCCCTGTGTCCTGAACTGACTGAAGAAAGTACGAGAAGAAAGAGGAGAGCACAGACCTAACTAGCAACAGCAAGCAGCACTTCTCCCAGTCTGAGTACCTTTCCTTTAGATATTTGCTAAAGGCACTTCAGTGCACTCAGAAAAAGTCTTTCCTGGAATTAGCTAACAGATTGTCTCTGATGAGGCCAAAAGTCTTATCTAAATTTTGATTCCTGTTGTCTGTCCACCCGTCTTCTTCCCACCATTTCCTGCTGTGACGAGGTGGGTCCGTCTCTGTCTGACATGCATTCTTCTTGCACAGCTCATTCACTCGTTACCACTGCCTGGTTTATTTTCAGGGAATGATTATTCAGTGAACTCCTATGTACATGCTTCTGGAAAAGTATTGTGGTATAGATTATGACTTTATTGGCAACATTGTCAGGAAAAAGTTGTACTTGGCTCATACAGAAGATAATTGCAATACAGATCATGTCTTCTATTTCCATTGTACCTCTCATCCTAAAACAATGTTTTCATGTGTGACTTGAAGTGGTCCTTTCAAAAGGTAGAGTTCGATAGGACCACGTGTGACAGTGTGAATTAGTCTCTCCTGAAACAACTGTATAATTTTTATTCATTACATATTCATTACAAGTTGTGGGTTGGGTTGTTTTGGTTTGTTTTTTCCAACTGAAAGCCAGAAAGCTGTTCAAGAACAGTAATAGCAGTTCTCATAACTTTGCCACATACAAGCATTCATAAACCGCGAATAAAGGGAATTGGAAAAATAGGAAGAATGACTTGAAATCATTAAATAGACTCAAGGGTTGTTTTTTTTTTTTTCATTTTCCAATTGTTTTTGGAGGCTTACAGAGTTCATGCATTTGATCTATATCCTGGGATCAAAAGGTTTAGAAATGTGTTTTTACTAACTAGAACTCCAATTTTCAAGCAGTCACATGATTTCTGAAAAGAAAATTTAAGAGGCCAAATGCCATCAGGGTGAATACTCCAAACAGCATTCACGCAGATCAAGGCATGGGGACCTTCACCACTATGTGTAGATTAGGAGCACACATCCTGAATTTGCGCTTTGCCAGGAGCAATTCCCCTTAGAGCTGCACAGGAGTGTGTGTCTCCCTCTCTGTTGGACCTCTCCATGCTTTTCTCCCAGGTAACAGCCCCAGTACTGGGGGCAGGGTCAACCTCAAGGGACAATGTCTCAGCAAAGAGACACAGAGAATGAAGTGATAACTAATCTCCAATTCTGCATGCATGCATGCCCCAAGTATGTACTGCCTTAGCCCCTCCTCTTCCCCTCACTCACATCCAGATGATCTGTTCACTTTTCTGCATGTGTAGGGATTAGAGACTGCTTACCTCCCCCGTGAAATGCTTGTAATGGTTGTAGTGAAATGTGCTGTTACTGGAATGCAGTCTGGCGTCTGCCGAAGTCTGTCTTTCCTTATACATATTGGAAGGTCCACCAAAAAATGAAGCATAAAATCCGCTGAGGAATGTATGTGATTCGATTAGACGTTAGTAATTCCTCATCCCAAGTGCCCAAGTCGTGACACAAACTAGCCTGTTACTCTGACTGCATTTCATGTCACAGGGCAGGGGAACAAAAATATATCCATAATGATAATTGGTGAGGAGGTTCAGGAGCAAGCCCAGGAAAGCAGAGGGCTTTGTTCAGAGGCTGTTTGTGTAGCACAGTTGTTTGAGGTATGAGACAGACAGTCTCAAATAGACTGGTCAAGAATATTTGGGGAGATGAATGGTGATTTCCAGATGGAGAGCTGGCTGTAGAGGGAACAAAAAATATGGAACAACAGCAGTCATCTTGCTCAGACTGTCTCCCTTGCGATCCTGCCTAGTATTTAATTAATACCACATTAATCGACTCTCCTTGTCAGTTAATTCCCAGAGCTCCAGACATCCAGTGACAGCAGGCTGGGAACAGAAAGTCCATTGGAAAGGATATAGCAAGATCAAGACTCAGATCTGAAGCGTGTGTGCGACCACCGCAGGAATAGTGGAGGAGAAAAGGAGCTCGGGCACACAGCTTGAGTGTGCATGCCTCACCAACACAGGGATAGGGCCAAGGTAACCAGCCTTCCCAGGCCTATTTGGAGGTGGACCACCATCAGTGGGTAGGCAAGAGCCTGGGAAACCAGGGATCAGTCAGGGAGCACAGCGGCCTCCCAGAAGACCACTGTTCCCTTGCAGAAGGTAGGGGTCTAACACCGTGCTGGAACATAAGAACAGGAGCCACTTCTGTAAGGCAATGATCAGATCTCAATTAAAAAACCACAGCAAAAACTTGAGCTGTCACAATCCAAGAACATTGTGGTCCCGACAGAGAGGAATCCAGTGACAGCAACATTTACCACTGTGTTGCTAAACACCGCCTACAAGAAAATCTTACAGGAATGAGGTTGTTCTGTCTAAGAAAAATAAATAAATAAATAAATAAATAAATAGGTAAATAAATAAAAGGGTAACTCTTCAAGCCTTCAATTTCTGCAGTGGGCTTAAGAAATCAAGAGAAATTCGGGTTAAACTTCTGGAAAACTTTCCAAGATTGTTATAGCACAGATTGTCTAAAGAGGATCATTGCACATGGAAGAATTTTTCTGTAGCATCTGCACACAATGGCAGAGGTAGAACTAATCCTGCCTTAGGAAGGAGAAACAGTTTGCATGATATCTTGAAGTCCTTCCACCCCAATTCCATGAAAAATATTTTAAATCTAGCCTGAACATTTGTATCCGAGGAATCTTTAATATCTATGGCCTCTTTGTTTTATTCTCAGCAAACAGAAACCCTAAAATATCTCAACAGAAAGATCTCCAGTATCTAGAGAACACTAATGGGACAAACTGAGAGTAGCTTGAGACTGAGTCCGAGTGAACTGGAGAGATTTGTGATTCCAAATACTTGAAATAGTAGGCATTTTTAAATAGAATAGTCCTTTCAAATCTGAGACTCACAAAGGTACAAATATACTCCCAGGCCCACAGTCTGTACTACATTATCATAGAAAATAGGTTGTCACGTTTGTCACACGTGGTTCTCTCTTGCTCTAAATGTTTTTGCAGCCACTGGCACCGTTTGCAAAGCAAGTATAAAACACCATCTGGCTAATGTTTTGCTGCCTTATACTTGATGAGTCCTAACATGAATGACTCTTCAAGGCAATGGAGAGCTGCACTCTCCTGTTCTGTGCACAGTTACCTGTCACAATCTGCATGGGCTGCTTTCTTTGTCTGCAAGGTAAGAGCAGGCTGGGGATGATCTCAGACTTAAAATCCCAGCCAGGGGAAGTCATCAGGCTACAAAACCCACAAAGTTAAAAATACAGGGAGCATTGGAAAATCAACAGGAAACAATTTCTGCTGACTGAAATTTTCAGCCTTCTTCCAAATGCCGTCTAGCAGCAGACTGTCAGATGGGACAAAGCATAAGAGCAGCAGTGGTCCTTAACTTAGTCTGTTAAAACAGAAGTGGATGCCAGGGGAAGGTTAGGACTCAGCTGTGGTTGCATGTTGGAGTTGTTTTGGGGCTGGGGTTGTGCAGAGCCCTGCAGACCCTTTCTCTGCTCCTTAATTCTTGCCAGGGTGCCCAGTACAATGGTTGCCAAAGGGGATTTCTCCCTTTCTTCTGGCTCTTGACATAAACAGGCCTGAAATTGGTCCTGGCAGTTTGGTATGAAGTACTTACCAGCTCAGAGGGTTCTCAAGCCTGTTTGGATGTCAGGTGTCTGAGCATGGCTTTGTTTGGTCTGACTGCTGCAGAGCAACGCCTGTCAGGCTGACTTAGTTTGGCTGTGTATGAGGAATGCCCATTTTCACTCCTGGCAAATCCAAATGTTAGAACAAAACCACTTTCGAAGAAGAGCATAAAAGCCATGAAAACACAAACCCAAAACTTGCCTCTCTAGAGCTGGCTTTCATGTTGGATGAGATGTCCCTCAGCTGCATAAACTGAAGGTGCAAAGTAACATCCTAAGTGGGACAACTCTGAGGAATAGACAGCCAAAGAGGTGGGAAACACATCCTTTCCTTTCCCCAGTTTACTAAGCCCACGTATACGCTAGCAAGCAGATGTGTTATATTGCACTCTCATCAGACACCCTGAGGACATTATGGATAGTACCGGAGGCATCTCCTCTCCTTGAATTTGTTCAAGGTGAACTAATCCCTATATCTATTGAGCTTTCCAAACATTTCAAATGCAGATGACTTTTGAAATACATATTTTCTTCTCTCTGATCCATTATAATCTCTGAAGATCAACTAACCTAAGTGGTATGTCTGCAGCTAAAACAAAGGCCGTGCAATCTCATAAGAGAAGGCCAGCAAGTCACATGAACCCACTACCTGTGTGTGTGTGTGTGTGTGCATGAAATAAGATTTTATTCTTGGCAACAGGAATTTTCCCCCTCCTTCTGTTATAACTGGGAGTTACAGTGATGTAAGATCATGCAAGGGTGTTGCTTTGAAAAGTTTACACAGGGCTGCAGACATGAAATTTCATTACATCATCAGGTTACCAATCTACAGTCACTGCTTTAAAATTACACAGATTATATAAAATGAAAGTTGGACGTGATTTTTTCATTTATCGTCTGGCCTACAAATCTTTACAGGTGCACCAGTTCTCCATCTACAAGCTTTTTCCATGAGGACAAAACATGTTTTTTTTTTCTTTTTTATTATTTTTGGTGGGTTTTCTTCTGTGTGAAAGTTGTTCCTGGCACTATCTTGCAGTTCCAACTAGTAGAAATTTCAGAAGAATATTAGATACTGCAAGGATCTCAATAAAATCACAAGGATTAGCAACACCACACGTTAGTGCTCTGTTATTAAGTAGCCACAAGTTAGAAGATGATTAACTGCTGCCCAGTCCCCACAAAACTAATTCTGAAAGAAAGTCATTAGTGAGAAGGGGAAAATTATCTGTTGAAAGAGAAGAAAACAAATACAAACAAATACAAATTTCTGTCTGGAAAACTGAAATCTGATTATTTATAAATATAGGTAAACCACAGCTTGATCAGGCAAGCCCAGTAGTTCTGGATCCATAAGGATGTGTTTGCATCATGATGGAAAGCAAAATACTGTATGGTGCACCAGTGAAGACAATAAATGAACAGGTTATGCAAGTCTGAGATCTATTCACTTGCCTCATAAAAGACAATTTTAGGGTTTGGAGCCCAAGTCTTGTGCAGAGCAGCTAAACCCAACGTTCTCCTCCTGCTCCAAATGGCTTGAACCCGCAAGCCTTGCTACACTCCTGCCTGTTGGGTGCATGACCAGCTGCCTCACCACAGGTCATCACACCTCTCACCCCGTTAATCACCGTGATTTGAGTGTTAACTTTCACTGACACCCTCTGCAGTCAGAATCACCTGGTGCACATTTGCCTTTTGCTCCCCCAAAGCTTAAATATTCCTTGCCAACCTTCCCAGACTTGTAAGTTGCACCTCTTTTAGAAGATAAACTGTTTCAATAACTGAGAGTACTGTTAAGAGCCTATCTGGCTTTTCTAATCCTTTAAGAGTTAAAATCTTAATAAGTGAATTGCATCATGTGGGTGCATCTGCTTATCACTTCCCTACAGCATAATGAGGATTTTTAGCTATTAAAGGAGGTTTAAACCATTTGTATTATTATTATCTTTATGGCTGGCCAGCAGCACAGCAGCCAACTCAGACATAATTCTAAATGAATGTTTCCAAGTGGAAACTTGGAATTTGAATTCAAATGACCTTACCTCTTTTTATTATTATTTTTATTCTTTCCTGTATGCGTTTTTCATCTTGCTTATTCTTAATTCCTTCAGTATTTATTACTGCAATAAGCTTAATCCTGTAAACTTGCGCACCTGAAGTGTGGGACTCGTAAATATTTCTGCAGCTTCTCTGGGGTAAATCAGATGGAATTGGATCTCCCATTGCCTCATGGGAAAAAAGTAAATTAAAAAAAAAAAGAAGACAATTGGATGTTGATGAGTTTATGTCTCTGCTGCCCTTGAATAATGCTCTGTCCTTTTGCTCTACTTCAGGCTGAGTTCTCTGAGCTGAACCTGGCTGCTTATGTCACCGGTGGCTGCATGGTGGACATGCAGGTCATGAGGAATGGCACCAAGGTGGTAAGGTGAGTAGTACCAACTTTTCTTGAAAACTGGGTTTTCTGGAGAGATTTGAGAGCAAGCAGGATGATTTCAGGCTCTGGCTGGTATTTGAAGGAGAACAGTTATGATGATCTGGAAGTTTCCCAGAAGAGATGGAAAGTCTGATTTGATACTAGTGGTTTTGTACCAGGTCTCAATTGCACATTGTGCCATCTAGTCATTGCTTCCAGTCCAGATCCTTCATCCCTCATCTTTAGGTTCTTTTTAGTCTTACGTATCCTAATAAAGGAGAGATGGTTAATCTTTATTTCTGTTCATTTATGTCTCCTGTTCTACCAACCATCTTTCACTGTAAACAGTGCCTTGCACTCATTAGTCTACCTGTGTAGATCCTGATGCTTGTAGACTGTTACTGCAATAAACACAAAGTCCTTCTATGAATACGTCTTCTCTTCCCAATTTGCCCCTTAAATCTCACCTCTTTTGCATTAGATTCTCTATGCTTTAGCCTTACCCTGATATATATCTCACAGGTAATACCTTATCATTTGGTGATGATTTTCCCTGCTAACATTACTTCATAATTTGCAGTCACTGCAAACAAAGATTCTTCCTGAGCAATGCTTTCCCAATTACACATCCAATTCACTTTATTTCTATTTTTATTTCACACTGTTTCTTTTCTTTTGGACACCAGAGTGCCTGCAGTTTTGACTTGTTACTGGTGCTATACAAAGAGCAGCGTAGGAAGTCATATGGAAGATATGATGGAAAAATGCTGTTTACAGGGCCTTGATACTACCTTCCACTTTATTATTTGCAAGTCTACATATTTATTAGTTTCTGTCATTAAATCTTTCAACTCTATATTTTATTTTTGACACAAAAGCTTTTCCTTATTTGATTGAAATCTCATTGCCAGTTTCCCAATCCATTTTTCTAGCCTCCCTACTTCTTTTTCTACATTTACATTTTCTACATTTCTACATACACTTTTTGATGTATATGATATCTTGAAATTTAATAATGTTCACACATTTAATCAACGCTTTTGTTTATGTGCTTCTTGTTCAGAAATAGAGTTACAAATATATAAGATATAATGCAGGGAGATTTTTTAAAGGGATTATTAGAGCATATGAAAAATGGTGATTCTGACAGTGCTGAGCTCAGTTTCATTTCTCAGGACAACATTTCCAAAACAGTGCTTGTCATTGTCAGTTAGCTGTGACTGTGGTCCGTGAATTCATTACAGGCCTTGACATCTCTCAGAATGTCCACAAGTCTCCATTCTTTCTTTGGCACAGTTACAAGAGTGTCTGCTAAAAACTGTAAATGTCAGGTCTGTTATATCCATTTGCTTTCTTTCAGTCCATGAATGTCTGTTTCTCAGTTAAAGTCAGCAAATGTCCTATGAACCTACCACTGGAGCATCCATCAGACAGTACACAGCGCTAATGCACTCTTTTGTTCACTTGCTCACAACGCTGGAAGGCTTCCCAAGAACCATTTCCTAGGTTGATCACATCTTCATTTTCCTTCCCATGCTTTTCCTCCCAAAGCCATTCATATGTCTAGTAGAAAATTCATCAGCTATTAAACTGAAACTGAAGACAAAATTTATTTTCACAGGAGTGTCTGAAGCACGGTGTTCATGTTTCTGCTCCTGGTTAATACACATATATAAAAACTAACCTCGTGTGGCTATTTATATATAAAGTGTATATTTATATATATATGTAAATGTAAATTTTTCTGTGAGTGGCAGCAGTTCAGCTTTTTGTGTTTACATCTGTGAGTGCTTATGGGAGAGGAGGATTTGTTTCTGCCTGTGTAGAGATGTGTATAGCATTTCAACACATCAAACTACCGTCGATGCTGTAGCCTCTGGGAGCACAGAGAGGTGGCAGATTGGTCTAAAAATAGTAAATACATTACAAGCCAGTGGAATTTAAATCAATGAAACAATAAACACTTAAGAGTAATAATAAAACAACTACTGGGATTTTCTCTCCAGATTGTGTAATGTTAATTGAACTCTTAGCCTATTAAATTATGTCATACTGCAGCAGATCTCCTACCTCCTTTAGACTGGGGACTTTCTGTCATATGGTAGAAGGAAAACTCTTTCCTTGCTGATTTCTTGATCCTTTCTGCCACCTTAGATTTAAGTCATTCTCATACACCCTGTGTAAACTGATTTGAGCTTCACAAAGAAAGGGCTGTGGCTCTTTAACCTGAAAGATAAATCTTCTTTTGTTGAGAAGATACAATCGTTGTCAATTAAAGAGAGCAAGGAACTGGAAGTATACAGACCTTCACAACTACTAGCCCAGGTATCTTTAAACAAGAAACTACCTAATAAGTTTGCGAACAACATAACTGAAGCATGCATTATTTTTCTTGCTTAAATTTTGTAAAAATGTATCTCCCAGTGTTCAGTTTTGCAGCAACAGAACTCCTTTATATATCTATTAAGTTCTGCACATCTGTAGTATAGCATGATTGAGGCAGTCTCATTGAAATGTGATGCTGGAGATAGAGAATATTATAAATCTGCAAAATTGCATGTGTTTCGCTGTGCCATTTCCACTGCGGTACACAATGCCTCCATCAGCACTCCATTCAGCAAGCTTTATTCATAGTTAGAAAACAAAGAGCTTGTGATGGAACATCTCACTAATTTTCCACCATTTCCCTATTTCAGTGTGTGACCTCCTGCCTCAAGTCTTGACTGGGAACAGAGCAGAGGGATGAGCAGGGCACTTGGGGCTCAGTCAGAGAAGCTTCTATGTCTTGGTCCTTGTTATCCCAGCACTTCTTTGGGTACAGTTGGCATCAGAGATTCCCCAGTGAAATCTCAAATATGGGAAACAGGAGATGGTACTCGTTCATCCCAGAAAATCTCTCACTGACTTAGAGTGACCCCTTCAACTGAGAAACGGCAGCCTTTCTGGGTGCAATGAATGGACCATTGTGAAGTAATTAAGCAGTGTGAAAAAAACTAAGCACGGGTGATGCCTGCTTTTATATCATTTGGGTGGATCCTTTATCTTCCTTCCAGAGCATCCACTACTTCCAGTTTTACAGATCTACAGACATATATGCACACACACACACACACACACACTCATACTAAACTGTCTGGAGTCTAATGTACCTTTGAAAGCTCTTAGGTTGTGTCATCTCTACTGAGTTTAGATGTAAAGAGTGGGATTTTTGTTTCCATTTGTTCTTCATTTCCCTGAAGGGCCTTTTTTACCAACATTTCCATAGTGCAAAGAGGCTGTCAGTGCTGGCACTGCACCCATTCTGAGGTGCATTTATACTTTCAGGATATTATAAAAGTGTCTCAGTATAAATGAGAATTTGAGCTGTCTCTGCTTCTGACAACACTTAGACTACTAAACTATGATCTCAGCCTCTGCATTAGATTAAACACAGTTTTCTGTTTGCCTTTTGGGCTTTACAAGGCTTCAGCTATTAATTCCAGTGGATGTGGGCAGGGATATGCCTTATATAAGAAAACTGGACAGTTTTCTTATATAGGGAATACTAATGTCTCTGAGAGCATTACAGGCTTTTAAGGACATAAATTAATCATGGGCCAGACTGCTCTCATCTCCTGTCTCCCTGTGGAGCTGGCTCTGTTGCCATTGGGGCTGATCATCAAGGGCAAAAATTGGCATCATCATCAAGGCCACATTTTGGTATGTCTACATGGGACCTACCACTGTGAAGTTCTGTTGCAGACCTCACTGTAGCACCACAGTACAACGGCTGATGGACTAAGAGGTGCCCATCATCTGGATGTAGAGGCTCTGTGTGAAGCAACAGCCCTGGCAAGTGGAAAGGAGTGACAAAATAGACAGAGAAGCAGAGAGAAGCCAAGCATATGGGACAAACCCTTTCTATGGGAAAACCCCAGCAATGGGGTGGCATTTAATCTTTCAGGCCTCGCCTGAATGTAGCTGCTCAGTGTAAAATGGGTCCCAATGAGACGCATCCAGAATCCTGAGGGAATTAGCTGATGTAGTCACCAAACCACTCAATGATATTTGAAAAGTCATGGCAATCACATGAAATCCCCGGTGACTGGAAAAAAGACAACATCACACCCATTTTTAAGAGTGGTAAAAAGGATGACCTCAGGAACTACTGACCTGTCAGTCTCACCTCTGTGCTGGGAAAAGTTGAGGAGCGGATCCTCCTGAAAGCTATGCTAAGGTACTTGGAAGAGAGGAAGGTGGTACGGGAGAACAAGCATGGCTTCATCAAAAGCAAATCCTGCTTGACTAACCTAGTGGCCTTTTATTATAATATATTGCATTAATGGACAAAAGAAGAGCCTCTGTTGTCATCTATCTGGACTGGTCTTTGACACAATACTCCACAACATTCTTCTTTCCAAATCAGAGAGGAATTGATTTGATGGGTGGACTGTTCAAAGGGTGAAGAACTTGCATCTAAAAGGGAGCCACAGGAAAGAAAAGGACAGATTCTTTAGCAGGGATTCTGATGATAGAACAAGTGGAAATGGTTTCAAGCTTAGAGAGGGGAGATTTAGGTTAGATATGAGAAAAAGGTTTTCTACAGTAAGGGTACTGAGGCCATGGAACAGGTTGCCCGGAGTTGTTTTGTTGCCTCATCCCTGGAGACTTTCAAGGTGAGGTTGGTAAAGACCCTGGGCAACCTGATCTAGCTGTGGTGTCCCTGTTCATTGCAGGGAAGTTGGACTAGATGACCCATAATGGTCCCTTCCAACTCTAAGGTTTCTATGGTTCTAAAAACCTGTGTGTTATCCAGCTCATCCTGGGTACTGTGCCTTCATCACTCACAGCTGTAGTGGGGTCACGAATGCTCTGTTTCTTCCATTTGTTCCTTTAACTAGCACTGTTTTCAGCTATTCAGTGCTTATACTAAGCTCTGTGCACTGATAGCATGTCATCTGCCTGTTGAATCACCATCCTACATACACAAAGATCCAAAAGTGCTCTTTTTTTCCCAAAGGGAACTTCGATGAAAAGATGAGTACATCCACAGCAAATGGAAACAAATCCCTTTTCACTGGGGAATTCGGAGCTGTAGTTCATGTCTTCTCTTCTGAGAGAGGTACCCAGAACTGTTGACAATACATGGAACTGGAACATTAACTCTTTAACTCCCAGTACACTACATGATGTTGTGATGTGGAATACTGATAACAAAAATCATAAAACCACATCGCTAGGAAGTGGACATTTTCTTGTCTCTTGAAGACCATTCATTCACAGGAGCTGGTGATTCCTCACAGTTCTTCTACCAGCAGATACCCAGGAAGGTCATGACAGTAGCTGATCCTTGTTGCTGGTGTAGGACATATCAGTAGGTTGTAGGTTGCCACCCAGCTTCTTGCCTTCAAGGAATTTTGTGTCAAGAAAGAACCGTAGGCTCTATGTTGTCCCTACCTTTTAAAATTTAACTCTTGATTTAACTGGGGGACTCTCAGAAAATGTCTTTTTTGTTATTTATTTGTTGCTTTAAAATTCTTCAGATTTCTGCAGAAATGCATGATGAAGGGAAAAATTGATTGGGAAGGTTTAGGTCCCTAGAAAAAAAAAAAAAAGAAGAAAAATATATTGAGCATATAGTTCTCCCAAGATTCACAGCATGTGCCACAAGGTACAATCTGTGCTATATGCATGCTATATATATATATATAACACTGAGCAACATTTGGGAGATAATTTTGTATCACTGACATGGCAATTTGTATTCTAATTGGAGACGGGGTTGTGTAATCACATGTGAGCTTTTAGAAGTGTACTTAAGACAAAACACCAAAGTCCCAAATGGCCGTTTCCCTCACCAACATATTCTGCAGAGAAAATGGACCGGCATAAAGAAATAAGTAGTCTGGATCCTGGCAAGCTGCAGTCACACATGAATCAAATCATCACCTCCAATAAATGTCTACAAATGGAGAAATGATTCCTATGTGGGTGAGAATAATGTCTTCCTGCTCCTCACCTGCCTGTTCCCCTCTTCTATTTTAAGCTGGAAATAACAAAGAGCAAGGAAGTTATAATGTGCTTATTTACTTATTCTCAGTTGCCTCCATCTCAGCTCCTGCTGCTGACCAGCTGCTTGGAGGCCTGCTTCTCCCACTGGGGCTTACTGATCTCCCAGATGAATAATGTCCCCCTTCACCTCCCTAGCAGCTGGCACCCATCTGACATGCAGGCAGGATGCTGACAGTTATTGGGAAAACATTTGGCCTGCAGACAGCTGCCAGAAAGCAAGTCACTCTGAGCAGACAGGGGTGGGGAGCATCTCCGAGACTAAACTGTTCCCTGGCCCCTTTCACATTTACAGTAATCCTTTCCAATAAAAAGTGTGTTGCCAGGGGCTTAGAGCACTCATTAATTAGTTAATCCTGGACTGAACACAGGAATGATTAAGAACTGTTGTAGATTGTTTCAGTCTTGATCAGCTATTTTTTCCAATTCTGCCTTAGTTTGTCTCCTTTATGCATGGTTTTTTACTATGGCTTTGTCTAGGAAAGGACAAATGGAGATGTTAAGGGCAAAGTCATGCTGCACCTGTACAATTCTCATCAAGTTAGAGCCTCATTAGCAATCCGCTGCTTGGACAGAGTGCAGCCTCAGCAAGCTCTTGGATGGCAGCAAGTTGGAGGGTGAGAAGACTTCATGGGCTAGTGAACCACTAGGCACTAGTGATGAAGTATCCTAATGGCTCACTGGGCATTAGTAAGAGTATAGCTAATGAGACACTGTTCACATCTGAAGTACTGAGTCCAGCTGTGAGCACCCTCCAGTTTAAAAAAGAAACTGGTGGACTAGAGTGATGTTGACTGGAAGGTCATAAAGATGATTGGTCAAATACTCGGGGATCTTCATCCTTGGAAATATTCAAAATTTGCCCAGACAAGACTTTGATCAACCTCTTGTAACTTTAAATGTTGTCCTTAAACGAGCAGTGTATTGGACTAGATGATCTCCAGAGATCCTCTCTGACATAAATCTGTGCTGTTGGAAAGTACCTGGATCTCCTTCTGTGAAGGCTTTGATCGCATGTGTTTTAAAGGCAAGCTGCTGTTGGAAGTGTGACTGTTATTTCCCTGACACATCAACAGGATCTACATGCTTTTCTTCGTCAAGATCAATCGGTATTCAAGTAAAACATGTAAGAGACTTCAGAGATTGCAACAGTAAATGTTGGAGCGTGTATGATGTGATTTTATAGCTCACTAACTACTGGTCTGTTGCTGAGTAGCAAATCAGAGCCTCTGATCAGAGCCAAGGTGTCCTTGTCTGTATTTATACAGTTACTGGTCCTACTGCAACCATGCTTCCTGTTTCCTGCTGCTTTTTCTACACTGATCTCTCCCACATCCCATGGCTTTCCCCAAGACATTTCTTGATCACACTGTCACAAAAGACTCCATGTTCCTCTCCTTCAGCCCTGTAAAGTTGGGCCTTTCTCTGTTCTGTGGTACTTTCTTGTTTCTCAAGAACCAGCTCTGCCTAATCTTACATTCATTCTTTCTTTGAATAAACACAGCAATGTTTACTCCTTCCTGTGGAAAATGACATCATGAGGTTAAGACTGAAAGAGATTTTTTTATTAGCAAATTACCCATTGCACCATAACATCCAATATAACACGAACATGTAAGATTTCTTATTACTTTTCAGTAACTTAATACCATTAACACACGGGTAAGGCAAAAATAAATATATAAATGAAACACTCATTCCTATTTATAAATGCCATTTCAATTAGCTCTCAGATACCTGAGGCACTGCATATTTGGAGGGATTACTGCTCTTCTCAGGTAGTTGCAGTCACTTAGTGTTTGGACTTGTGCCACCAAAGCTTGCCTGAAGGCTCCATTAATTCCCAATAATGTAAAACTTGTTGTATCATATTGCATAATTACACACTTTTCTTCCTCTCCCTTGCATGCCAAGCTGATAGGAAAGCTGTAGAAGAGAACTTAGTAAAAAATGTGCTCATTAATAGGAAGTGTCAGCAAATTGAGTAAAGTCTCTTTGAATAATGGACAAGTGGCAGATCCTGAAATAAGGATGTCCCTCATCAGTGTCCAAGGAAGATCTTTTCCTTTTGATATGAAGTGCCTTTTAAGACAGGCACTCTTCAAGAAAGAGCAGGAGAGCCCATCCTCCTTCCAGAGCATAGGCAAAAATTGCTTTGAATTCTTCATGGTGCTGAGGTATCTGAGTTGGCTGCAGATGACTGTTCACAGTTGGAGATGGAAGGGATTCTTCAAGGGTATTTTGACAACATCCTCTATTCTTGTATGTTCATTCTTCATGCCCATCAAACTCTTTGTGCTTCGGAGAGAATAGCTGAAGGGCCAGGAAACAAGCTCAATTCTTGTCTATAATCAGAAATAAGAAATAGGAAATCTCCTTTAGGCACAAAGTCTCCCAGCAGGATTTGCTGTTATCATCTCCTCTCTATCCATTCAGTGGCTAGAGACTTGTTTTCTGCAGAGATATGTTAGTTCAGAGCTAACAAGATTCTTCTCTTATTGTTCAAGAAGTTAGACCCAGAGTCACCAGAATACCAACTGCTGTTCCTGAGATGGTTAACATCCGTAGTCATCATCAGTGATCTCTTAAATTATGTTCCTTCACTTATGATGACACCATTACTGAGACAGATAATGCTGTCACAGATTTTATAGTACATGAGTATTCTGTGGTCAGATCTCTTCCTTCCTTTAAAGTATTAGGTATTTTGGATCCAGGCTTTATACTTGGATTGGTCTCTGAAATATAGTTTTACCACTAAGAAAGAAAGAAAACTTCCAAGTACATTGGAATGAGTTTTATAGAGAGTTTGTTAAATGAAACTAGCATTTCACACAGCTGCATCAGACTCCAGGCTCAGGATTGACAACACCAGCAACATCCCTTCCAGACACTCATCAGCATCCAAAGTGACTAACTTTGACAATTGTTGTCTGGTTTCAGTTACCAGGAGGAGAGGCAAATTGAGTGACTGCCATGGTCTGTGGCTACCTTCAGGGACAAAGAGACAATCATTGTAAAGGGAGAAAGAGTCATGGACACCTCTAAGAATTGCTTCTCCCAAGGGGTGGCTAATTCTGTTGTGCACCACTAACAGGCTTGTGCCATCTGTGGCTGTGCCATCCATCAGAGTCTGCAGCCACATGAATTGAAAGGATTTCTCTTTTCCATCCCAGAGGAAAATGAAATCTCAGTAGTTGTTACATAGAATCACCAAGGTTGGAAAAGGCCTCTAAAATCATGCAGTCCAACTTTCCACCTATCACCAATATTTCCCACTTAATCATGTTCCTTAGTACAACATCTAAACGTTTCTTGAACACCTTCTGACTGCACCACACCCCTGGGCAGCCTGATCCAGCACCTGACTCTCTCAGAGAAGTATTTCCCAGCATTCAACATGAATCTCCCCTGGTACAACTTGGGGCCTCTCCCTCTAGTCCTATTGCTGGTTACATGGGAGAAAAGGCCAACTTCCCTCCAGGTTGTTGTAGAGAGCAATAAGATCTAGAGAAGACAAAGGGCTTGTGTTTCTGCCATTGCTCTTCTAGACCTGATGGGCTGGGGTGCTTAGGACCTCAGCACAGGAGGTGGTACTGAGTTTGGCTCTCCCGATGGTTTTGGCAGCAGTGTTTCAAATGTGGGACTTCTGCCTAACCTCTCTTTCTGCCAAGGTTCTGAACTTTCTGTCGTGTGAGATGGTATGGGGTTGGTTTAAACAAGCAAAGAAAACAGTTATACTGTTGGTTGTTTCAAATCCAAGACTCGCTATGTTAAAGATTTACACTCCAAGAATGAGGAGTAGCTTGCAAAAGTAATCTACAGAAAAGCATGAATCCTCTTGCGTGAATTAAGCCCTCTTCTCTGCATCTCACTTGTACTCCCATTATTCAGTTTTCACACTGCCATTCCTACCGTGATTATTAATTTCCTTTTACTGCCTGCTATCCTTTCTACGCGCTCATCTCACATTTTGCCACTGGTTTTGCCTTCCACTTTACAGACAACTACAGACTCTAGGCTTTCTGGCTGCTGTTTATTCACAGCTAGTCCTAGGCCCTGCACTCCTCTGCCTTGTTCTCAGTATCCATGGGAACATCGTCATTGTCCTATAGTGCAAAAGAGAGATTCAGCATCCACCTTCACTGTAGAGATTCACTCCTCATCTACTATGTGAAAGACTGCCCTGCCTTCCTACACGATGCAGAGCTTGAAAATGGGCTTTTCTACTTCTATTCTGTATTCTTGTGTCCATTTTCTAAGCTGAAAAGCTCTTTCTTTGCCAGGATCTGAAAAGACAAGAGCTGTTTTCTAAGCTTTTGGCTGGCAGAACTAAAGCTGCTAAAGGCAGCTTCCCAGCCACTGTGTTCTCCCCTCAGTGGGTGACGCTTCCTTACAGGCTTCCTTCCCATCATGGCACCATGTGCAGTCTGGGATGCTGGATAGATGTTCAAAGGAAAAACCAGGTTGGATATTAGGAAGAGCTCCTCCAAGAGTGGTGATGCATTGAAACAGGCTGCCTAGGGAGGTGATGGAGTCACTGTCTGTGGAGGTGTTCAAGATACCTGTGAATGTGGCACTGACAGACATAGTGAGCATGGCGGGGATGGGCTGATGGTTGGACTAGAAGATCTTAGAGGTCTTTTCCAACCTAGATGATTTCATGATCCCTCTGGGGAGAGCAGAGCAGCAGCCTTAACATGGATGGCTAATTAACATGCATGGCTAATTATAGTTATTCCCTGAGTCAAGTCTGGGGAGAAGACCTGAGCCCCAAACAGGACTGGTTCCTTCTTCATCTGCTCTGTAAGCTAAATGAAGGAGGGATGTGCCTGAAGCTCCTGACATAGGCACTACAACTCTTTTAGCAGCTCAATGGAGACATTGAGTCTAGTTCATAGGAAGCTGATGAATCCCTCCTGAGGACCTGTGCCTGCCTCCAGTTGCTTTCTACATGGCAAGTCCAGAAGAATGGAGCAGCCAAAGCTTTCCAAGATTTGGATTTTCTTGCTGTTTCTCAGCAGGGAGTCAGTGCTTGCCTCAACAACACTGACACCAGGGAGGTCCATAAATCAGCTGCACAGTGATAGCACAGTTCTCCTGATGCTCATTATGCATCTTGCTGCTGGAGGAAAGTACCACCTTTGGTGCCAAGTACATTAGGGAACATGCTGGAGTTTAAAATACTCCACAGGAGGGAATCACAATGTTTCCAAAAGTTGGCCTCTTGCATCACAAAAGCAGAGCATGCTCCTTGCCATGCCTAGAGCAAGAACAAAAGCTCCAGGCCAACAAACAAAAAGAGCAGCTCTAAAACAACAAAGCTGCTCTGGGTTCTGTATACAGAGTTTGTTGCCACAATCTGGCCCAGACTTACCATCTCCAATTTTCCTGCCAAAATGATGGAAATATAAATAGGGACCATAAACCCAAAGTATTTCCAGCTCATATATCCAAAGGATTGAAATTATAGTCTCTTAGCAAGGAAAATGTTCGAGGGTAGTGAGGTAATGGGACCTGGTTAAAGAACTCATTTCTCTGAAAAACTTTAATACAGAATGGAATTTTTTCCAATGTCCTTGATGCAACCTTTGTTAAAGTATAAAATAATCCCCCATTTCAGAGGAAAAGACCCTTATATGCCTTCAAGAATGAACTGTTGAGCTCAATTTTGGAAAGTGTTTCTTTCCAGTTGCTGTTTCCAGAGATTTCTGAATGGCTACAAAAGCACAGCATCAACAAGGAATGAGATCTGACTGTTTGCAAGCAAATCTGTGTCCTCTTGGCTTACCTAGAAAGGGCCTCACTCTTCTGTTGATTTGCTGAGAGCTGCTGCTGTTGAACTATAGGAGTCCCAGCTCCAGACTTGCTAAATAATATTCTGGAAGTCCGCACCATGAATCACAGTGCTGGATTCTGCTCTGGACTCTGCTCATTTGATTAATTACATTACCATGCCTGCCTTTTATTTATTGACTCGCAGCCATAAGAGCCTGAGATGTGCTGCATGTGCAGCGAACTGATTAAAGGAGGAATGTATGTTAATGCATGGATGTGTACAATAGCTTTTTGAAATCCCTCATGATCTTCCCACCCACTGGGCATTGCTTCAATATCAAGTTCAATCGTCAGGAAACAAATTTGCTCCCTCATCTGCGTAGCACATTGCAATGAGCTTGCCAAATATGGCCAAGCTTTTTGAAAGAAAAGAGAATCCCCCCACCCGTGAATTTATGACCCTTGGCTCCCACGTGTGCCTTGTTCCTGTGCATGCTTCAGCGACATGGAAACTGCAGCAGATCTGTTTGACCTCTTCCTACACTCTCATATTTGCAGCTATGTTGGATTTTTGCTTTTTTTCATTAAGACCAGGGTGTGGTTTTTTTAATCTGTTTTGTTACTTTCTAACACAAGCAACACGTGAGGAAAGGCACAACGATGACAACATACGTTAATGAAAATTAAAGGGGAAAAACGGAGAAGAATCAGGGAGAGGCTGGAAGTGTTGCTGAATGTGGAAAGTAGTATTATTCCTCTGTTCTCTTCCAGGTCCTTCAGACCTGACTTTGTCCTGATCCGACAGCACGCCTACAGCATGGCACTAGGAGAGGACTTCCGCAGCCTCATCATCGGTCTCCAGTATGGTGGCATCCACACGGTCAACTCCCTCTACTCTATCTACAACTTTTGCAGCAAACCATGGGTGGTAAGTGATGATTCGGCTATGCTAAATGTCAGCACTGCAAAGTAGGTATCTGGCACCGATACAGCACTGTAGTGGAAATGCTAAGTTATGACCTGAACCAGTGATTGAGCACTTGGTGGGAAGGCAGGGACAACCCAGAGGAGCTCAGCTGCATGCAGTGCACCTGAGTGACGAGGAGGGGTGGAGTCAGGATCCACCCCTTGTCTGAGGGTTGGCAATGGAGGCAAGGGTCTTTTGCTGGAGTTTCCTACCTACTGGCGGTCTTCCAAAGGTAAGTACTTTTTCTTCTTTTGTTCATGTGGCTTCTGCATTTGGGCTTGTTTTCTTTTGCTGCAGGCTAGGATTGTGCCACCCTGCTACTATTGCTGTACTTTCTGTCATATTACAGCACTACAGCATTACAAGCACTAAACTCAGCTTTTGGGATTCTTTCATAGGAGCTGGATTCTTTAGTGCTAAAACCACCATCCCAGCCACTAAAGCAATTTGGTAGGGAGTGTTAACAAAAAAAATATATCAGCACTACTCATTTATGACATCTTGATATTACTTGGGGCTTATTTCCTCACCCTGAGCAAGGCATGTTTTACTTCTTCCCAGACTCTTTGTGTCACAGACAGTTGTACAGTAGCATCTAGATTTCTTGTAGGACAGAATAGTTGAATAGTAATAAATAATAGCACTGGAGATGTCAGCAAAATGTATTTTATGCTTTCTTCCTCCTTTTTCTGAGTGATGCTTTCTTGAAAGGCAGGAGAAGTAGAGATGTTATCTTCAACAAGTAAGTCTATCCACTTAAAATGATAAAGGCTGTGGGAAGATGCAGAAAGGGGGAAGAGTGCAGGTTCTCTCAGTGATTTCAGGAAGAAATAGAAGTCTGTAATAGTGTTTTTTCATTCCGCCTGAAAGACTGTGCCCTGGAAACACCTTGATCTGAATAAATTCCTGGGAAGCACAATACTGTTTTAATATTCAAGGCCCAGCTGGATGGAACTTCGAGCTGGTCTAGACAGAGGCATCCCTGCCTATAGCAGAGGGTTGGAGCTAAGTCCCTTTCACCTCAAACCATTCTATGGTGATATTGGATGCTGTGAGCCTCCTTCACCTATTCTTTAAATTTTGTCAGGTTCACCTGGAAATCTCAGGAAACCTTAAAAGCAGATTTATTTTATAACAAACTCAAAGTCATCAAGAGCTGAAGCAGCTGGAGAGCTTGAGGAGTAAGACTGGCCATCATAGCACCTGCAGGAAAGAATCAGATCTGCTGCCTTTCTTCAGTGCAAATCTGGGTCTTCCAAGCAGTTTCACTGCCCTCCCTGATCACTGCTGCTACCAGAATGGGAATTTCCCCTGCATTGGTCTAGGTCTGAAGCAGGCAACTACAGGCTATGTGGATTTGACAAGGAGATTGTTCTTTCCAACGTACTGCCCCATGGAAAACTCAGATATGTTTGTAGGAATTCCCACTACTCATTGAACAAATATAGTTTGGGATGGGACTTAATGTTTACAGCAAGAGTTAACTGTCTTCCCTCTTTACTTAATACTTTTTGGTTGTTGTTTTCTTGGAATAAAAAGTCTATTAGTCTTCAGACCCGTGGTTTAAGTCCAGATGAGGCCTGTAGTAACTCAGATGTTTCTTTCCATGACTGTCTAGTGTTGGGTTTAACTCAATTCCTATCAAAAAGGTACTGGTATTATTGAAAGTCTTCTTAATTGTCAATCTTTTTGCAATATTTGGAGTTTCCATTGAGACAAAGGCAGAGTCCTGCCTTACCCAAAAATGTTGCAGTGCAGTAATGCACTGGGAAGTCCAGGTCCTCATGTCCAGAAAAAAATAGAATCATAGATCGCTAAGGTTGGTGAAGACCTCTGAGATGATTTAGTCCAATCATCAGTCCATCCCCACCATGCCCACTAACCATGTCCCTCAGTGCCACATCCACACAGTTCTGGAACACCTTTAGGGACAGTGACTCCACCACCTCCCTTTTACATCTCACTTTTCCATCCAGGTAGATGATGCATGTTTGCCCTCAGTCCCCATTTGAATCATGAGGGTTGCTGGGAATTGAAAGGAGAGGAAGAGAGAGGTAGTAGGTTCAGTACAAGCTGTTTTCTACAATTATTCTGACTGTGAGCATGCTGACCCCAGTGACCAGACGAAAAGCCTGCACAATATGCTAGCTTTTGCTGAGAAGACCGCCATGTGGCCTATTCCATCTCATTTGTGGTTGGAGTCTGTCAGGTATCAGTCAACTGTTTTCAACTCATTCTTTTTAATTATGTTTTGTATGGTGTACAGGGGCCTCAAGATGTGGCAGGCTTATTTTTAAGAGTCTGAAGTGAAAGAAAACAAACTCAGCACACTGCAGAAAACTAAAAACTAAAAATAAAAAATGTAGGGCTGGCAAGGCAGCGTGGGATAAATTGGCTCTGCCAGTAACTCATGTCTAAATATGCTGGGTCTGGTTGTGCTGTGCCATGCTTTCCTCACAAGGAATACAGCTGGCTCAGACAACCTCCCAGATAAGTCAGAGAAACCACTTCCAAACACTTAGGTTTATAGAATGCCTCCTTTCTCCACTGCCCCGTGCACACATCAACCTCAAAGACAAATGATTGTAATGCACTAAAGTAATCTAACGCCTCAAATGGATCTGAGCTGGCATTTGGCACAACTGAAATTTTATCAGATTAAGGTTAGCTCAGGTAGAGATTGCACTGGGCCATTTGAGGGCAGAAAGCCTCACTGGCTGGAGAGTCAGATTTTTGTGATAGCTGGGGAGTGTGAGATAGGGACAGAGCACTTTGGTGCATGTTCTACTTTGATTGCAAAACAGGCATCTTGAAATAAGGCATCCGTTTAACAGAGATTACTGGAAAATTTTTGGACCTAAAACAGTTGAGGCACATGAAGAAATGAAATTAAACCCCATGGGAAAATGTGCTTTTCACTCTCCCTTTTATTTTTCCAAAAACAGTTCCATTTCATAGAAATGTTTATGATTTTGTGGAGGGGGATGGAATGGAGACTGCTTTTTCTTGGCAATTTGCATCAGTGTTTTCTCAGCAACTGTAATTACAATCAGCTGAGTTTGGCCTTGAGTATACTCAAACATGCAGCCCTGCTTTTTAATGACATTTTCCAGTACTACACATTTCTTCAAAGGTTAAAATTTGCATTAAGCACAGGCACAGTTTGACATGCGCATTTCTGAAGGAAAAAGAAAAGAAAAACACAACAAAAATCAAACACTGTGAGGGGACCTCACACAGAGAGAAAGATCTAAGCCATCTAAGTTTTAAGATGATCACAGAACTATTGAGAAATAATGGTCTAACCATGTGAAACACAATGCTTTAACCATTCATAAATATATATATATATTTGGTTGTAAAAGTCATGATACAAAATCCAGTGGGAACAATGCTCAAAGTATTGCATGCGAAAATGTCTGTAACTCTAAGACAGCTTTTGCATCTGTAAGACTGTAGGTAATTAGAAGTCTTGATGACAGTCATCTACAGAGTCCAAGTAGACTCCTAGCCAAGCTATTATGGACTGTAGAGGAACATAGGCTCCCTGGTGGCCTAAACATTTTAAAAATATGCAAATGGACTTGAGATGTTCTGAATGGATCTTCTTATTTCTCTGGAAAGATTCCATGCAAGTACCTTGAAACCAAGCAGCCAAGCAAGATATTTCCGCTTGTTTATCTGTTCCAAGTGCCTCAAACCCTGACTTTGCCATATTGCCTTGCCCCATGTTCTGCTCTGCAGTCCGAATGCAATCTCATTAAAATCAGTGGAGCAACAGACAGTAAGAAGTGACACAAAAATGTGTAAGGAGCATTTATTTCTAGTTGGACTGCTGATGAGAACATTCCTATCCATCTAAAACGCACTGGGAGTGATGACTTGAGCTTTACCATCGGGTATCCGAGAGGATCCTGTACCATGCAACATGCATGTTTCTGCCAACTTATTGTCCAATAAGTGTCAAGAAGGAAAAAAGGAAGGAAGTGACTCACAAAGGCCAATACCAAAGGCAGAAATTTTACAGATCACTGAGACTCTCACTTGCATGCATCAAAAGTAAGCCCAAGGAAGAAGTTGGGATGCCACCTGTCAGCCACCCAGCTGTTCCAGTTATTATGTTTGTGCTGTTTTTCTGGTATAACACAGATCTCACCTCAACATCACAGTGTCTGTGGTTCAGCAAGTCTGCATTCGCGCACAGTGAAGGACATGTGCTGCACACAGTCTGGGTGTTTTTCTTCCTCTCCCTGTCTCTGTCTCATTGTAAGTCCTGTTTGCTCACTTTGCTAGTCAAAACAGGGCTTTGTTTTTTCTTCTCTAGGATGTGCAGCTCTAGTACAAGTAGTAAAGAGAAGTAAACTGTCTTCCTTCCCCCAACATCAATACCTCTCTTGCCAACAATAATTATTCCACACAGGGAGTTTTTCTCTTATCTACTGATGCATATGAGGGGGTGGTGGTGTTAGTGATGGGATATGCCAGCTCTTGCTGTTTCCTGAGCTTTCTTAAATGCCACTTTTTGACATATGAGATTAGCAAAAGGATTCTTCTAATTTGTTTGCAAATCTGCTGGCAGCTGCCCCTTCAGCATGTAGCCTGAGTCTGGCACACACCCTGCAGCTAAAGTTTTTTTCTTTTTTACATGCTGGTTGCACTTTTTTTTTCCTCACATAGATTGCTCTTTAACTTTCAAAGGGGTATTTCTTCTCAAGACAAGTTCCAGTTTCTTGCAGAGAATTGCTTTTGCTTAGACTAGCCCAGGAAGTGGGACAGGAGCTCTATCACAGTAGCTCTCTCTTTATCTGCAATCTAACCTTGAAGTTGAAGCTTGGTACATTTGCTGCCCTTAGCCATTCCCCTGAAGTGCCTAGAACATGTAAGATCAGGCAGCCCATACTATTGGAAGAAAGTAGGCTTTCTCTTCTCTTCCCGGTTCCCCAGATGTCTGTTCCCTTCCCCTAAAATATGTGTCACCTCCCTCCACTGATAAAGGTGACACAAAGATCGCCTTCAAGATGAATGCATCCCTAGCTTTAATGAGAAACTTGAAGGAACTTACATAAAGAACTTACAGTGAGACTTGGGCCAGACTGGAGGCCTTTTGTTAGTTTAACTCAATCTTACCACATTTCAGAGGACTTGGAAACTTGATGCTGTTTCTAAATCACTTTGCAAATAGGACACCAATGAGGAGTGAGTTCATCCATGTCTACCAGCTCAGCAGGAGCCAAGATTCTCACTTCTTGTCAAGCAATCCCCAATCACTTTATTCTCTCAACATTCATGAAAATAATCAAGCTACTGTATTCAGCCTCATTCCTTTCCTGCAAGACTGGTCTTACCACATCACTGACAGCACTGCCAGGTCAGCACTGTCCATGGGAACAGAGCTGTATCTCTTCAGAGGGGGAGGGGTGTAGCTAGATGCGTGATTGTGAAGAATCCCTGCTTTTGCTTCTAATATTTGGAGGTTTTCTAATATGTATGTCACTTCTTATTCCCTTTTCTGTACTAGATCTATTTTGGAAAATTTTTCTATCATACTATCTCAAGATATCAGATTTCTCTTAGGCAGATTTGGTTGTTTTTTCCATCTGATCAATGACAGATTACGTAGGGAGGCTGCAGACAATGTATGTATTAATCTGATCATTCAGAAATTGCCATTTTGGGGCAGGAACTCACTGTGCTAAACTTCTGTTGGGTCTCTGGAACATAACTAGAAATCAGAATACTCTTATCATGGGAAACTTTCAATCTGGCTGGGCACAATCCTGAATAACAAACAGTTTATAACGATGATAATAATGGTGATAATGGGGAAGCTCCGGCTGACAGTCTGGGACGATGGCTACCTGGGACATGTAGGTGGGGCATGGCTAGGAGATGATGTCTCCTTTCTGCTGCTCTGGGAGACCCTCAGTTCATAACAATTGCAAGTAGTGTCAATTGTGCTTCCTTGGTCTGGTGCTCAGACCTGGTGGTCCTCTTGTCAATTTTATCCCTTAGCTATTCTCTTTCCCTTCAGTACCATGGGTAGATGTGTCTTGCTTTACTTTGGCTATGGGACAGAGATGCAAGGAAAAGTTTCAGTTTTGTTTCTCTTTGCTCAGTGGTGGGGCACTGATTTTCCACCTGATCATGCCTCTAAGCCCTTTCCTCTAACAAGAAGGGCACCAACCTCTCCCCAGCCACCTCTGGGAAATTAATGCTTGTTGATAGTAAATCCATAACTAAATCCAAACTGACCCCCTTCTGTCTCCTGAACTCCTCTTCTTGGTCCAAGGTTGTGTATATTGTTTAGTTTGGCCCTGGGTAACTAGTGCAAGTTCTTAATTGTTTTTCTTCTCTTTGTTCAAGAAAGCAATGTGGGAAAGGGATAATAACATTTTTCATTTTTTTCACTTGCCTTCTTCACCAGTATCAGAACACTTTGCAAGCTTTTACCTGTTGCACAATAGGCCACTAACATCTACTCTCTCCATTTTCTTTTTTTTTTTTTTTTTTGTCCCCCTCTGTCCCTCCCAAGTTCTCTCAGCTCATTAAAATCTTCAACTCGCTGGGTCCCGAGAAGTTCCCTCTCGTGGAGCAAACTTTCTTCCCGAGCCATAAGCAGATGGTAAGTACTTGTGCTTTCTTTTGATTCCAGCATGGGTGGGGGAGAAGCAGTAAATGTGATTTAGGCATGAGAGAGCGGTAGGTATGCTGGGGAGAGCCTCAATTTTTGCTTACAGAGAATTACTAGCTCAAAAGCAATATGCAAAAAAGCTCATGAAGTATGGAATCACTTTATTCAGATTAACTGTTTCCCCTCCTGTCACACTGGAGTTGTTTACGATACATAGGAAGTCTGGGATATGGGCAGAAATAACTGTTTGTTTCACATTAGTTTGCTTGGTCTGTCATGAGGTTGCCATCCATGAAATATTTATCAGCTTGACTGGGTACTCAAAGAAAACTGAAGTTCCAAAAACAGAGGTTGTTTCAGCTTGTAGTGTTTACTTTGCCCAGTGGCTCTGGTCTTCTTGCCAACACCGAAGTACCCAGTGTGTTGCGTGGCTGCTGGGCACCATATCAACCCCTTAGGGCACCTTCCAAAGGGACATGCACAAATGCCCGCTGCAGACTGGGCGTTAGTCCTGGAGAACATATGAGTGGCTTCATTTAAAGCTGCTAGTACCTTGTTTCCTTTTGCTTACAAGGATAACTAGTCCTTGGTGAGTTTTCCTCACAACTTATATGTGTGACTTAGTGACTCTCCCTGCCTGGCTGACAAGTCCATGTGACCCTCTGTGTAAGAACCATGGCCCCATGTGTGAGCCATCCAGGCTTGTGTTCTGTGCTTGATTGCAAATGTGAGCAGAGTTGACAGTCTGCATGATAGGGTGTTATGGACCTGGCAGCAGAAACAAACACCCAGGGGGAGCTTCAGAATTCCAGAAGAAGCTTCACTTTTTTTCTTGTAGAAGATCCCACCAGTGCTCACTAGGTACCTGAAAACCTTGGAAGGCTGGTCTTTCATTTCTCTGCTCCAATACTCTGTGCACTCTAACTGTGCTGTGGGGCCAGCAGCTCTTTCATATTTCACGTGTACATGGTGAAAGTAAGTACAGACATACTCTGAAACGCTCAAGTATTGCAGTGATGAGAGTTGCATGAGCGTTTAAGACAAAGAAATGGATGGTCCTTACATACCGAGCTAGAGTTGATTGCCAATCTTTAAGACAAAGTAATTGATAAATCCTGTTGCGTTTAATTCTCATTATTTATGAAGAGGGATTTGTGGCATGCATAGTGTTTTGGGGACAGTTGTGACTTTGGCCATCACTTCAGAAATGGTATTTTTGGAAGACTTGATTAAGCTTCTCATTGCAAATGTGTTACCTGGCAATTTATCATTACATTTTTTTTGTCTCAAAATATGATTCTGTTTCGTGTATACAACACATTTATAACCATATCGTAGTTTGGTTTAGTGAAGCACTGATCTTAATTTCACTTATTTGTCATCTCTATAACTTATCACCAGCTTGCAGATGCTATTGCTTACTTCCCAAAGAATACAGGAACCTTTTAAAGCTGTAGATAATATCTGAGCACACACTGTTGTTGACATGCAAGTTGAAGCAATCTGATTTAAATCAGTCACTTTCCAAACATTTACACAAGCAACAATCTACTTGGGCAAATTATGACCTGCTCTTCCCAGATTGGGGACCTGCTTCTCTCTTCTGCCTGAGGGAGAAATGGAATGAGTCTACATAATTTCCCAAGATCTTCCTAGCTTGTTTTCACAGTATCCGGGACAGAGAGAGTAAGCACTTAAGGCAAGCAAGTAGTCAGCACTCCAGCAAATGTATGTGAAACTTGCACACTGTTCATCAGCTTCTCAAGGTATCAGGAATGATAACAATATCCCTTCCGTGGTCTTTCCTTTCCTTTCCTGTAGGTGTTTTCAAGCTATACGAGTAAACACGGGTGCTTTGGTTCCTGATCCTGGAAGTGTTTCTAGTTGGTGTTATGGTATTACTTCATTGAGTGCGGCATACTTTAAGCAATGAAGTTCTCACATAAGAGACCCTCATCCATGTATGCCAAAAACTTTCTAAGCTTGGTCTCTAAGCCTTTGGATGAAACACAGAGCGGATGTAAGTCTGCTTTATTCTTTCCTCTTTATGGAGGAAATAGCGATTCTAACAGCTACAGGACTGTATTTGTATTTTAATTTAGTTGAAAATGCTTTCTCTCAAGCTTGCTTCTATGACAAGAGGGCATTTTTACCCAACCTTAAGCAATAAAACTAAAGAAAGGACACAAGGCTCTGATATTCCACAGCAGAAAAGATCTGAGAAAGGAATCTCCAATTCCTTTGCTGTGGGTGTGTACCTTTCAACAGTCCCCCTGGCTCACTAGAAATAAAAACAATCTGGCAACTGTTCTTCTAAGGCCCTACTGGTGCTACATGAACTACATTATGACAGCCCTGTTCTGCAGTGACCCCCTATGGCCAATTAACAAGTAGGATACATTAACTTCAAAAACGGTTTTTTGTCTCTCCTGGGCTTATGACAACTCATCAAGAGATCAACCTCTCAGAGAGATGGTGGGATTATAGGATGGTGTCTTTGCCAAAGAGCAAGAATTGCCAGAGGGGGAATGTTTGCTTTGAGCCCAATAAATGGTATCAAGAAAGGGAAGGAAATGAATAAATCCACTTGCAAATCCATCTGTGTACATTTAAAGTGGGCAGAAACTAACGTAAGTGAAGCAGAGACAGAATGTCTGTGATAGAAATAAAACCACTTTACTGTTTAGAATAAAAGGACACTATAAAAAGTGAACATTATGCAACATTACCTTAAAAGACAATATACATTCACTGAATATAAAATTTATAAATAACATGGAGGAAAACTGTAAACAGTGCTAGAAAATTTAGCAACAAATACATTCCTTCTGGACAAGATTTTTCACGCAGGTTTAGTTCCCTCCCCAAATTTCCATGGCTATCAGGAACAGCAGAATGGCTCTGTGAAGGAAGGATAGTGTCAGAGAGAGTGTGAAACCAGTACAAGCAAAGCAGCAGTGCTTAGCGGAGTGGTAAGCTTGTTGTCAACACTGGTAACACCAAAAGCAACTTATTCCAATTAAAAAAGGTTCTGCAAAAGTTTTTCCCTGCCTTTCTAAGCTAGAACAGACATTTTAAATATTTTTTTCAAAGATATGTGAAAGAATGGAGAATGGTTTGTTCCCATGGAGGCTTTTACTTTGAGTCCTTAGTGTGAAAAACACTGCAGCGTGTTTGCTATTAATCACCCTGAGATAGTACTCCAACCTGCATGAATGTCCTATGTAAAAAGCCATGCAGTTTTTCAAAACATGAGAAGTTTAGTCCTAAACTTGCAGTTTTGTCCCATGGAGGGATGAGGGAAGCCTACCACAGGGGGGGACCACAGTATCTCGGTGATCCCAAGAGGACTTCAGTCAAGGTACTCCAATCACAGATCTCTTCCTTTTCTCCATCTCCACCTCTTTCCTTTTTGGAAAGGAAAATTAAGATAAATTATTCCCTATCCTTCAATATATTTTTCATACTTTTTATAATTTCTAAGGGAAAACACTCTCAAGCAAAAAAAAAGGAAAATAATTATAATTTAAAAAACAAGAGAATGGCTTATATAGAGATGGCATATAGAGGGGAAAATTGCCCTCATCCTACATGTGTCTGGAGATCATGCTCTCATGAGGTGGGCAGTTGATAGATTCCATCTAACCTTTGATTGCTTTGATTGCAAAGTGAAGTGAAGAGCATGGGAGAGGTGACTCGTGTGAGCCATTGCATGCTCCAGTACCCAGTACTTGGGGGAGAACTTCATACCTGCCTCCTTATATCCTGTCTCTCAGTGCCCACATCCTTCATGGTGTGTTCTAACAATTGAGAACAATCACAGAATCAGCAAGGTTGGAAAAGACCTCCACAATCATCTAGTCCAACCATCCATCTACCACCAATACTTCCCCAGAAAACCATGTCCCTTAGTACAACATCTAAATGTTTCTTGATCACTCTCAGCTTAGCAGGATAGGAGAAAGGAGAGCACAGAGAGAATGGAATAAGTGTTAGAGTCTGAGTTAGAGCCCATAGAAGCCACATTAACAGCTCCCTTCTACTTCAAGGGAACCTTCAGGCAGGTCCTTAATGCAAGCACAAGCTAAAGCTTAGCCCAAGAAGCAGATGTCCCTGATAGCATGCACAGAAACAAAATTAAGTAGCTTCCCAAAAGAAATGTATTTTTACTGGATTCTTCCCCCTCCTTTTGGCTTCACATTTTTAAAAGTCTTAACAACTGTTTCCTTACACAACAAGGGAAACGATTTGCTACCAAACCCCAACCCTTGCTGGTCTAGCTGTATGCATCTCAGAAATATTTTACCGTCTGCAATACAAAATGTGAATTCAATTTATTTTCTGGTAATGTACGGTTGCTGTTTTGTTGTTTACAAAGCACATAGCTACATTATATCCTACCTGGGGACACAAGCACATTAGAATGAAAATATTTCCACAATAATTTGAGTGCAATACTGTGATGTCTCAGCTATAGCTACATGAATCAGTGACAGGTAAAATATGCAGAGCTGCAATTAAATGAAAAATCAACACTTCACTGCTTCGAGGGGCATTCTCATTCAGCGTCTGAAGCCATGATAAGTGGCTGCAGCTCAAAGAAACATCAGCTTTGCGAGGTCGCTTTGAGCTTCAGGAGCATCTCCCTAACTGCTGACTCCACACAGTGTGGACAGTGTGGGTGGAAGCATCCCTGCTGGCCAGGTTGGCTCCACTCTGAACTCAACTGAGATTGAGCCCTTGGAGATTTTGTTGGCAGTACAAAGCTCAAACAGAGGTCCAAATGCCCAATCCCATACTCTGCCAAAAGGGCTCTTGACCTGAACCTATGATGGGACTGATGAAGCACCCTACTACTCTCCCTCTCATCTCCAACCTATAATTTAGGAGTAGTCACAGGGAAGAGGACTTTTTGAAAAGTGTTCCAAGCCTGAATCACAGGAAAATCCAATGGATTTTCAGTGTGTTGAGTTCTGTATTGCCACTCAGAG